TTACCGCTTTCTAGCAATCATCAGTGAACAAATACTAGCGGCTGTAAGTTACACAGTATAAGAAATGAAACTCAGTGTGGTTTCGGTCCGAAACTATAGCAGGAACTTTATTGGATGAAAATAGGATGACAACAACGCTAGTTACATTTCATATTCAGTTTTATAAGAAGTAAAATATAGCAAAATGCAAAGTCAGGAATGTTCTCACAAAGATAACACCTAACGCTGTAACTAGAAACCGGATTGACGGCGCTAATCATAAGGGTATCGGGCGGTGTTAGCCGTACCGTTGAAATGGTAATCATCAGGATTCCATAACTCCTCCCTCCTCGGAAAGATTGGTCTCCAATCTCAAAAAATAATTTGAACTTTTAATTTGAAGGAGAAGTGCCTTAAATATCACTACTTTGAGGTGGAGTTTTAGTATCCTTTACATAACGGTATCTAACAAAAATTGTTATAAATAACACCAATAAAATAATTACATTAGTAAAAATAACAGGATAACTTATAGTAGAACGAAACTGTAAGTCTTCAAAATGAACTTGAAGTGAAGTGAGATTTTTTTCGAGATAAGATTCGAGTGAAGTGTTTGTTTTCTTAAATGAATATTTATCGTTGTCACCTCTGAAGGATAATTCTAATTCAATTTCATAATTAGATCTCAAATTCTAATATTTGATCATTAATAAATGTATGACATTCTAAAATTATGTGAGTAGTAAAATGAATATGATGGATTCCTTTACAATCCTTGATTTTTGTTAAAACATTAGCGTCGATTACATAATTGTTCTTACTTAATTCTAGGATTCGCGTGTAGTTTACTAGACTTTCAGACTCACAAGTGTCTAACTTAAGTGGTTGACATGGCGACTGGAAAGTATTCGTGCAAACATACAGCTGATTGCTTAACTCTATAATATTTTTGCAATGATATGAGATTGTCCCCAAACCCCAACTCAGTATCCTATGCATCGATCAAGGATGAGTTTCGAAAATAACTCAATTCCACCCCAATAAATTTTAGCAAAAAGAAAAGCGTAAATTCCAGGACATCAGTCAGCCGGAAAATCAGATAATCACTCCAAAGCGCTGTACGCTGCGCCACGCTAGTCCCTCGTAGCCTCTATTGAGTATCCGAAATAAAATCTCTTTACGACAGGGATTCAGAGTCCGCCGGACATAACGATATGGACAATAACTTTGATCCGGGGAACCGAAGCCGAAGAAGTTTCGTCTCCAGCGTTGCGAGGTATAGGAAGATTTCTAGGTATTTCGGAGAAATACATATTTGTAAAAACTCAATTTCAGGGTGAAGGAAGAATTTGCTTTCCGTACGAGGATGTCGTACTACAAGCAGTCGGAGAACGTTAGTATGTCAAACAGAAGTACAGCCCACCGAATCTTATTATTATTATCATTATTATTATTATTATTATGATAATTGAGATGAGCAGAGTACACAGTACTATAAGCTCATGCAGTAAATATAGTGTACGGACACGTAACACAAATACATCAAATAGAAAAAAATAAAAAAAGACAGTTCATCGCTATAAAGTTTGTACACTCCTCCAGCTATCATACTCCACTTTGAAGCTATTAACTGAAGTAGCACCAACCACACTTTCAGGTAAACTATTCCAGGTGTTGAATATGCGGTTGGAAAGAAACCACTGTCGAACTGTTGTTTTAAATGGCTCCTTATGCAGTTTGAAGCTGTGTCCGCGTAGATTGCTGCGCGATAGATGGTATAGATGCATGAGGTTGGTGCCCATCGAACCATGAAATATCCTGAACATAACTATAAGATCGCCACGAAGTCTTCGCTCAGAGAATGAGGTCAGGTTGAATAATTCAAGGCGATCTTCATAGCTTGGTCTTCGTGCTCCAAAAGGGATACGAGTAGCCCGACGCTGTACTGATTCGACGAGATTTCTATCGCGCAGAAGCACAGTGTCCCATACCGGGCCAGCGAATTCAAGAATTGGCCTCACGAATGCCTTGTAAATGTAGGCGCAAGTGTTGACATCGGATCCTTTGAAAGACCTCTCCAGCATGTATAGAAGTTTCTTGGCTTTTAATGTAACGTGGTGAATATGCTCTGACCAGGAAAGACGATCGTTGACTACAACGCCCAGATTAGTGTGGCTGGAAACTGCTTCGATGTTGTGGTCAAAGATCTTGTATGTAAATCGCGGATTTGTCTTCCCCAGGTGAAGGACACAACACTTAGTTAGATTTAAGGGTAAAAGCCAACTGACTGACCATTGACAAACAATATCAAGATCTCGTTGAAGCATAGCAGAATTTACGACAGTATTGTAAATCTTGGTGTCGTCGGCATAAGCTGAACATGTGGAGGAAATCAATGCGGGCAGGTCACTTGTATACAGAAGGAACAGCACTGGCCCCAAGACAGAGCCTTACGGAACTCTACTTGCTACATGATGAAGGTGAGACTGGCTATCACTGACGCGCACAGAGAAAGTCCTCCCGGTGAGAAAAGCCTTAATCCACAGTAACAACTCGCCTCTTATTCCCATACATTCCAACTTAAACAGAAGCCTTCTATGTGGTACGCGATCGAAAGCCCTAGAAAAATCTAAGTAGATTATATCAACAGGAGTCTTTGTGTCCAGATACTGAGTCCAATCGTTGAGAGAGTGGAGAAGGTTGGTCATTATTGATCGACCAGGGAGAAATCCATGCTGATTCTTAGGGATAAGGTCATTTTCGAAAGCAAATGACAGGAGCTTATCAAATATGATTCTTTCAGCTATTTTGGCGGCGATAGGAACGAGACTTATTGGTCGATAATTTTTAGCGGAGGATTTGTCGCCCTTTTTGATGTTCTTGATTTTAGGCTTCCCAGCCTCCATGATAAATCTTTTTGTCGAAGCCAAGTTCTGGTACTTCTTGAGTAGTGGTATGATGCTAGGTCTGGCCAAAACGTGATATGGTCATTAACATTATGTCTGTTAACAAACTGGAGCAATTTGAAGAGGCAGTTATCAATATAGCTCTGACTATTCAAACCTTCACCCCTCACTATTCCCACAAAACGTTGCTAGAAATTGCGCACCAGACAATGATTTTATCTGCACATTCCGCTTTATGTTTGCATCCAACATTTTCAGGCCATTCCTCGACGTTGTCTGTGTATACACATTTTAAAGCGAAAACTTCAAAATAAATAAATGTCAACTGACGTAAACAAACGTTTGTTTCCAAAAGCTACTTGATATTATTTTGCGTTTGTTGAACTTAAACCCAATGAATTCTGTGCTAAAACTTTTAGGACATACGTCACTTCCTTGAACATTTCTTTGGTATATTGAATCCTGTATTGTTATAGACGGGAAACTGTCAAGTGCCAAATTCACGTCACCCTTTTTTTTACTATTTATCACTTATCCGTAATTTGAATTTCTCTTCATTGATAATAGAGTGCCCATTCCTAGGCCAAACCCTTTTCGATGATTTTCTTTTGGCAAATTTAATAGTTTATTGATTGTATAATTCCACTCGTATACCTTTCTTTCTCAGCGATTCAGTATAGTGTTAACGATCAGCAAAAAACTCTGTAGTTTTTCTCTTCTTCAAGGCCACTGAAGATACTTTCTTCTAGAACGTTACGTGTTCTACGTGATTCGCTTTTCTGTTTCCGTTGAGGTCGTGGTACAGGGGTCGTTTCGTCGTTTTCCGGACTCTGGGATATTAGGCCCCAAGCGCCAATTCATGGACTAGCACCCTTTTTTTTGTTTAGTCATTTTGGTTTGGGTGCTACGTCTTCAATTTTTTTTATGGGATTTTGCGGTAAGTTCTTTCTTATATACCTTCGGACCACGTGCCTTAATGCGTGTCCTGATGACGTTCGTTCAGTATATGCTTTCTTTTAGTCAATAGAAACAGAAGAGAATCATCATCCTTTCCCCTCCAGCTGGTTGCATATTGTTGCAGTTTTGCAAATTGGTGGAATCCATCCCCTTGAAAAAAAATCTGATGTGAACAGGTAAAATATCATTCTAATTAACAATTTCATAAATCTTTATACATTCATTATTGCTTATTGAAATTCTTAAAGACTTCTTGATTTTATTGGACATTCTACGTATTCAAATATGGGGCAGCGCCCACATGGCACCTTCTATTACATTGATCATGATTTTGATTTTTGAGCTGCCATAACTTTTTAGAACACGGGTATATTAGTTTAGTACATTTTTATCTTTTTTTTTGCCTTTGTACAAAAAAATGTACATGGTTTTTTTTACTACCATAATTTTTGGCAACGAGGCAAGCAGCCCCTGCCCAGAGACATGCACACTATTGGCCACTTTTTGACCAGAGTTGAGGACATCTCGGCCGCGCCCGACAAAGAAGACCTACAGATAAGTTCAATATTTAGGCGCCAAATATCTGTAAATACTTCGGGCGTATACCATGGTAGACGTTTTGCGGGGTTATGTCGAAAAATAATTTTGTCAGGTTGTATTTAAGATTTGTAACATCCTGCTTTTTTTTATTATTCAATATATTGTGATTCTTTTAATATCTTGTTTTATTTGGCTCTCTCTGTGTGTAGTGTTACTTAAATTTCGTCATCCCTTTTAGATTCTCCTTTGGTGTGGTGGTCAAGCAAAACAAGTTCCGACTAACGTCTTGGGGAGTCGTGGCTTAATCCGTCCTAAGTCACTGGCACTCTTAACCCCCCTACTCTCCGCTTTGTTGATCTAGGGCCAACCGTTAGATAGTATTTATCATTGTGTTTTATTAATTAACCAAAAAAAGGCGTGGCAAAACCTAAATCTCAGAACAGCAGAGCTTACATTTATCAATGTCGCTTTATATCAAACTATCAGTGTCTGAATACATAACCGAGCTGTAATATTCTAGTATTCGTTTTTTGTTGTATGTAACAATTGAAGTCATTCCATTCAAAACTCGTTCTGACATTTTTTTTTGACTGAATGGTTAATGTCTCTGTATCCTACCTTTTCCTGAATAGACTCAAACCTCGAAGACTGAGGCCTCCCTTTCACCGCAGTTGCAGTCTGTTCTGCAGTAACCCAAACTCGGAGCGTATGCGGTTTCCTTTGACTTGGCAACATTGCGTCTCTGACAAGATTATCTTATTTCCTGTCTCCTTTGCGGTCGAACGCCACTTCCGGTAGCCCTTCGGTCGCCGCCGGAAGTCGACGCTCTCTTTATTCCATTTTCTGTCGGAATTTCTGCCGACTGGCGTCTCAGCAAGCTGGCGGACTAGTCGCACATGTCAACACCATAACGCCGATCCATTGTGAAAACGGTATTGGCCAGAAAATGACCTTTCCGATTTCGATACTTACCGCTGGAAAAATACACAAACAGAATTCGTTATTCGGGAAATATCTGGGTACGAGTAGATACAATCAAATCAAGGTAAGCGTATCCAGGTACGAAGCGGCTATATCGTTTGATTCTCCAACATGGCTAATCTCTGTAACATTTTTATTATTGAAGATAGATGTATAGATGAATCTACATTTTCTGACATATTCACTTGTTTAGACGTACTTCCGGTTTAACCGGAAACAACTCCAACAATTTTTGAATGGGACACCCTCTGTATACTAAGTGACATATAAATCCGAACACCCAGTTTAAATGCTTTTATTTTAATAAAATTTTGTATAAGTACTTAATGAAGCATAATAAGTAAATGATAAAAATTTCAAAATAATTGCACTGCTTTAAAGCCATTTGACCTTTAATAATGTGTGGATGCACCCTGATGTGCTACGCATTCTCCAACGCGCCTAGGCATGCTTCTGATCAGGTGGTCAATGTCCTCCTGTGGTATCTCATTCCAGGCAACCACCAACTCCTCTCGAAGTGCTTCTAGAGTCTGAGGGGGACGTTGCAAATTGAGCAATCTCCTACCCATCATATACCACACGTGCTCAATTGGGGATAAGTCGGGAGATCTTGGTGGCCATGGTAACAATGTGACATCATTATGTTGAAAGAAGTCTATTGTGACTCTTGCAACATGTGGTCGGGCATTATCTTGTTGGAAAGTTGGATCTGCCAGGGTGTCAAGATAGGGTAAAAGATGGGGTTCTAGAACTTCGTCGATATGACGCTGCGCGTTCATGTTACCTCTGATGAAGATTAAAGGTGACCTGGAAGCATAAGCTATAGCACCCCAAACCATAACTCCAACAGTGTGATGAACATGTCTTTGAACAAAAAACTGTGGATTCCTCCTTTCACCACGTCGCCTTCTAACCCTGGCACGACCATCATGCATGCCTAAACAAAATCGAGACTCGTCACTAAAGACAATACTGTTCCATTCCTGATCCCAGAGTGACCGTTGTCTGCACCACTCAAGGCGATTACGTCGGTGTTCTCGAGTTGAAGGGAGGACCCAGTGTGGCCGGTATGAAAACAAGCCAAAACTTCTCATTCGTCGGTAAACACTTCGCATGCCAATAGGTCTTCCGTGTTCTGCAAACCATCCATTTGCAATGGACCTGGTAGTGGAGAAACGGTCCCTTAAGGCCAATAATCTTAGGCGGCGATCTTCACGGTCTGTTGTTCTATGGCGGCGTCCAGTGCCCCTTGCTCTTTGCGTACGGCCTTCTCGAAGCCATGCCTGACAACACTTAACCACAGTGTCTACACTTCTTTGCACTCTAACTGCAATTGCCCGAAAAGAAAGTCCAGCTTCCCGAAGTCCCACTATACGGCCCCTATCAAACTCACTAAGTTGACGAAATCGTACAGGTCTCTGTACTCTAGGCATCGTAATCGATCGTAAAGGATGTCAAGAACCAAAATCCGCAAACGTTGATTCTTTACTGCGGCTGAAATATTCATTTTTAGAGCGTTAGTGAATTAAAAAAAAGCAGTATAAAAACCGGAATGTCCAACTGATAAGGCTGAAAATTTTTTCACTTGTTATTTACAGTAAGATAAATACATTCACCAACTTTTATTAAAATAAAACCATTTAAACTGGGTGTTCGGATTTATATGTCACTTAGTATATTCATACTTATTTCTATCAAGAATGCCGTTCTGAGCTCAACAACACCTCAATTGCCAATATTTCACAAATAAAGTTATTTTTATTTGCCATAGATCCTGTAATTCGCTTAATTTATTATATAAACACGGCGTTCGACCTTACAGTCGCTTTAAAGATTTCTTAAAACATAATTTTTTTTTTGAGTAGAGATGACGTGGCTATTAGGCTTTCTCTAAGAGACCATTTTCTTACGAATAATTTGAAAGTTTTTTCCGACAATACCCATCCAGCAATTGATACCAAATCGCTCTTGAAGATTTCCTTCTTGCATCAAACGTAAGATTGTTTGTGACCAGAACCTTGTATTATTCCGGTTGAACATACTCCAGTTGGTAACCCGACTTTGGTCTGAATAAATAATTTTAAACGGAAAACGTACATCTTTTTTGTATTCAATCGCAAACCGCTAGCGTGAAGATAGTATAATTGTTAACGATCGATAATTACTTTTTGTGAAAAATTCTATAAAAGTGATGGATAACAATTACCTTCGACATAGGAGTATTTCCACGATAAAGCTATTGGCATTTTCTCTATGTTCTTTTCGCATTTTCTGTTCCTGTTTTGGAAAATAATGCAAAGTGGGATAGCGACGATTGGGAAATCTCCAAGAATAAACCCTCAGTTGCATTTTCCTTGCTTCCCCGTAAATCAACAGCATGTCAATTTTCCCGATTCTAGTATAGTTTCCCATTGTAATTTAACAACATAACAAATAAATTTTTAAAACTGACAGTATTTCTTATAACCTATAGTGTATTTACACCCAAGATAGAATGGACGCGTGATTGCCAAAAGCAAGGACGGCGTACAGGGCCGCATTCAGAGCTACCTCCGAATGATGGACTACCACCAACGTGTTGTGAAACAAAGATGACAGTATTTAACAGAAACAGAAACTTAACAAATTACTCAAATACACTTAACAACCAAGCAAGGTGAATACGAAAACATGAGCACGCAGTGATACACGCGACGGACGGTGGCCTGAGTGCAACTCTGCCTGCCCTGCCCCTGCCCCGCGCATTATTCCGCCAGGCGACCGCTTGAAATTTAATGGCGAATTGACCAATAAGAGGCGTTGTCCCTACCTGTTACCGAGAGATCACGCGCTAACTGTTATTATTTACATCTCATCTTGAATTTGGATTCAGTTTAGATTAGGTGTTTGTTGAAGTAACCCTAGCAACACCTTCAATTGCTCGTCACGATGCTGTTCTAGAAGTATCAACAAAAGTGCATAAATACATCATGGGTGGAGGATTTTTATATGTTGGTTGGAGAAAATGTGCTGTCATGGATTATTTTCCCGTTTCAACTGTTGTCGTTATCATCATACCATACCTGTAAGAACGTAATTACCTGTCCAGATTGTGCAGGTCAGCATTTGAAGAACTGCCCGCCGAACAAGTGTATTAACTATGTGAGTTACAATGAACAGCGTCAAACAAATCTCAAAACCGATCATTCTGTAACCGATTCGAACCGTCGTCTTTACGATCTGATTGTCAATAATATAAAATCAAAAACTCAATATGAATGAGAAAAGTGTCACTTTAGCGCACTTGAATGTCCGGCACTATTCACAGGTTTCTATGATCTAAAAATGACGTTGTTTGACAGCAGTATTGATATTCTTGCTGTATCAGAACCTTGGCTATCTAGTGATGTGTCAGATGAATCAGTAGCAATAGGTGGTTTTTTAATTTTTAGGAGTGAACAGTAGACGTAATAGATGGACGATATGAGCAATTCTTCAAAATAAATTTTGACAAAGCGAACGTTCAAGTCAGCGCCATTACATTGGCCAAAGTCTCCAAATTGATTTAAGGTGCTTTTTTATCCATTGCAAGAAAAGCGGTAAGCACATAGCTCAATGCTTATATACAGGGTGACTTTGAAGTTGAGTCATTAATTTTCAGATAATGATTGTATAAGGAAGATAAACCAAAATATGTGTGTAAAAATAAAAAAAAAATTAAAAAAAAATGTTACCTTGTTTTATAAAGTATCCTACCGACAAGTATTTCAGTGCGGACCTGTATTTGATCGTGCGGTCTTGTCCACAAGTTCAGCATTTTCGTAAACATGTGCCATTTTTGATTTCGTTTGAGCCACGCAACAGACACCACTATTCACTCACGCGTTACCGACTGACACTGACTGTATACAACCGAATAAAATAATTGTAAAAACATCGTTCCAAATTCTTTCGCTTTTTTGTTTCCGATGCGATGAACCGATAAGGCAGATTATATCCGTTGTTGCCAAACACGAGCACATAATATTATTATTGAGACAGGGCGGTACTCAAACTTCCAAAGGGCTATAACTTTGTTACTTTAATTTTATCAGAAAAATGGTAAAGGAAAAAAACATTTCTTTTGATCAGATCTACTCACTGTTAAAATAAATGACTCAACTTCGAAGTATATCTTCTTATAAGGATAATGTGGAGTCTAATTAAGGTCAACGTTACTTAGTACTTGTTCCCTTTTGTAATATTTACGAAATGAGTGGACAACATGAATTATATTTCGTGTTCATCATCATTTTCAAACTGATGTATGTTATTAATAATAATACGAGGCCTGTAAGTTAAGTGATGAGACCACTTACTTTTTTTATTTCCTCATTTAAATATAATTACAGTGCTATATTGTTTACCTCGAAATAACGACGGTCTAAAGCCACACAGCGCTGTTTCACAACAACAAAAAAATATCCACGGACAAGCAAATGGCTCGAGCGAGGTCAAACTTGTACTGAAGGCAGATCACATGTTCCCTTGTCGCCCCTCCAAGCGGGGCGCCTCCAGTGTTGCCAGATCAAGCACTACATTGCTAGTTTAATAACTTAACTTGCAGATATCGTAAGTTGATTGTTACGAGGGTTGTCTTTTAAGTTTTGCATACGGAAATAAAACAACACGGTAGGTAGTTTTAAATGACTTTATTGTTTCTCGAAGTATTCTCCACGAAGATTAATACACATCTGCATGAACTCATATACTTATAAGAATATCTATATGCGCTGTCTTTTT